TGTTTGTTATGCTTGGCTTTCAGCCACCGAGGTTTTGGTTTCTCACTAATAAAGCACTGTGACATTCCAGTTAAGCTTGTCTCGGCATTCGTTACTGGACGGAGGAGGGGGTCAAAACAGATTTATAAAGAATGTAAGGCGCTGCAGCTGACCAACAGCTTATTTCATAATCTGCAGAAACCATCTCAGCAAGACATCCCAGCAAGATGCAGAGATGTACGAAATAAGCAAATAAAGCTGCTACTTAGTTGATTGGTGGTGGGATAATGTAAAAATATCACATGTTAATTGCTCGGTGCTGCAATATACGTTTTTGTCTGCAGAAGAATCCAGAAGTATTGTTAAAAATATCAGTCCCAAGGCAACAACTCACCAGTGATGTAGAGTAATCCATTACTGGAAGATGTATACAGTCTACATAACAAGTTAAACACAAATACTTACCAGCATTAAATAAGTTGTTGAAATGAAGAAGTGGCATTCTGACTTGAGCACAGCAAACAGAAGAGGAGAAAATTGTATTTCTTTTTTATCTACTAGTTCCCTCATCTGCCTCACTGATAAGCCACAGAGTTAAAGAACCAATAACAGACTGATCTTGTCTACGTTTTCTCTGCATGAAATGGCCAACCATGAAAACGGAAGCTAATCTTCTTTGGGGTTTACAAAATTGTAGCTTATTTATCTGACACCAGCAAGTACTGTGAAGTAAGGAGTGCGTCAACTAAATTTCCAGCTGATAAAGCTTATAGTCAACATGCCAAATGAGAGCTGGAAGAAATAGACACATGCTTTGATTTCTCCAACATCCTAGGAACCAATCAAGAAGCCCTAAAAGACCAGATCATGTAGGTATTATCATTTGCTGGGGCACAAAATGGCTTAAAAAGGATCCATTGCAAGGAACCTCTATCGCTCTAGTAATCATACTGTCGGTGTTCCAAATAGCATCCAAAAGTAGGCTAATAATAGAAAGTGTGGCAGGCCAAAGATCCAAAAGATGAAAAGATGGCTGCAGGACTGACACATACACCAAAAATATGATGCCCACTGAAAACACTGTACTGTACAGGACTTCAAGGACAGATGCAATCTAGATCTAAGGAGAAATTTCTGAAGAGTGAGAACAATTAACCAGTGGAACAGGTTGCCTTCAGAAGTTTTGGATGCTCCATTAGTGGAGGAATTTAAGAAGAGACTGGACAGTCATTTGTGTGAAATGGTATAGGGCAGTGGTCTCCAACCTTGGCAACTTTAAGACTTGTGGACTCAACTGCCAGAGTTCCTCAGCCAGCAAAGCTTCAACTCTGGGAGTTGAAGTCCACAAGTCTTAAAGTTGCCAAGGTTGGAGACCACTGGTATAGGGTCTCCTGCTTGAGAAGGAGATTGATGTAGAAGACCTCCAAGGTCCCTTCCAATTCTGTTATTCTATTTACCCCTTGAGTGGAGATCAATTTCAACGCCTGCACTTAATGCTGCATGATGACTACGAAAAACACTGAGTCACAGATCTAATATCATCCACATGTTCATCTTGATATCTGTATCATAAAAAAACATAGAAGCCTGTCCTAGCACATAGTAAACATAACCAATGCTTTGCTGAGAAAACTTTTAACATCTTTTTGCCTGCAGACCCTGACCTCAAGGGGAGATTTTGTAAATTCCCTGTTGAACAATGAACAACCCTCTGTCCTTATGGTCTTGGTCAAACGGAGGACGTTATCCATTATGGCCTCCACTGACCCATTTACAATGAGATTAGGTCCAGGTTTTTAAATGGTAGATGAACTCAAGGGATCTGACTCTGAAAAACTGAACTATCTTCTTAGAGATGTGTTTTCAACAGTCAGCAACCAAATTAATACTTTTGCTCTGCTGTCATTTAAATGTAGAAAGAAATGCTCAAGTTCTTAGATGCAAACTTTGGCTTTACTCATTTGTAACCTTTTTACATCCAATACTTCTATTTCTTCTAATTTCAGAGTTTTATTCTTTTATTGATATTTTATGGCATACCTACGTTATGGCCTGTGGTTACATCAATAAACTTATTTCCTTACACGGATTTAAATTTGATTCTTTTACTGTAATAAAAGCTTACTGTTAACTGCAGGTTTTTTTAAAAAAATGTTAAGATTGTGTTCTGAGGAAACTGGGCACCCTCTAATATTAGTGTTTTGGAACAATTCAATGAGAAAGTTATTTTTAAAACTTTTGTAGAACTAAAATAATATTTTGTCTCAAGAGTGTTTCTTAATAATTTATTCAGCTCAAATGTTTGAAATTTGAAGGGCTGAGATTATATAGNCCCAGGGGTGTTCAAACTTGACAGCTTTAAGACTTGTGGACTTCAACTCCCAGAATTCCTCCTCTCGCTCTTCAGCTTGATGATGTGCAGATGGGTGGGAGGAGGGAGCTGGAATCGGTTCTAAACGGCATGGTAGATTTGTGGAACTTCTTCTATAGAAGAGGTTAGAACTGGCAGGAACCCACCCCTGGTTGCATGCATGTAGTGGAGAGCGTGCGGGGTCATGGCACATTGCATTATGGGTGTGGGCACGTATGTGCATGCAGTTGCATGCGTGCCCACAATTTTGGCACGCAAGGAGAAAAAGATTAGCCACCACGGTCCTAGAACATACCATCAAGGCTGATTTATGTAAATCTTGAAACTAGGGGAAGCAGGTTGCTTAATTACTGAATTTACACATAATCTTCTACCTCCTCTATCACAGGCTGTGACCATTATGGACCTGTCAACCATCAGAACATGAAATCTGGCCATGGTTTCTCTTTGTTGTAGAGTGCTCAAGGCAATGAACAGAAAACTCCATTGGAGTGGAAGAAGACTCAAGAAACAAGCCACAGTCTGCAAGGCAATTTCAATAAACAACAAGCCAAGCCTGGTTTAATCCTAGTTGCAATCGGAGTTCAAATGGCATACAGAGAAAATCCAGAACTCAAATACCGGAAATCCAAAAAAAATACCTTTGGCAAAAAAGATGATCGCATAGCGATCTGCAGAAACTTCATCCTACTGATGAATAATCCTCTATTCACAAGAAGATGCTGAATGTTTTTTCTGAGGAGTCCAATCTTCATTTGCCTATACTTCCTGACACTGGTGTTTTGATATTGTGTATTGAAGTAAATTCTTCATGCTTATCTCAAATATATAAAGTGAGCCCAACTTTCATGCACACATCAAGCAAACATCCAGAGGCAATCAATACACAAGTAGTTATCAAGAGTGAAAATCTTAGCTGATTTCCAAACAAAACGTCTTTACAACTAAGTCTATGTGCAGATAATTCATGGGGATCTTTATTGATTTGTGCTGTCCTTAGTAACTTTACAAAGCTGGTATTGTTTCCTAAATACAGTATCACCAACTTTTGAATTATTTGAAGTCATTTTAATTGTTTTTATCTGATTTTGACCTGTGTTCTATGTTCCATTACTATTGTTGGGTTGTTAGTCTAACTAGGAGACAAAATCACACAACTGTGTCTCATTTACTTTGGCCATATCGGGGAATTCACTGGATAAGGCAAGTATGTTTGGAATCGTTAGCAGTAAAAGAAAACCAAGCCATTACTCAACACCATCAAAGGTGACACCAGAAAATAGAAAAACTCAAAGAAATAGCGTAAGATTAGAAGATGTGGAGAGACTTGGCCCATAGAACTGCCAAGAGTCAGACTGAATGGATAACATCATCATCTTCATTGTTGTTAGACATTTTGAGTGTTTTTCTAAACATTCAAAAGAAGAGGGAGGAGGAGGAGGAGAAGGAATCTTGGGTGGAAAATATTAGACTAAGGACATTGAAGAAAAACAGGGTCTTGCAGTGGGTTAGAGAAATTTTGGGCTTCTGACAAGCTAAAATCTGGAATTAAACATAAATGGAATGGAAAAAAAAGAACAAATGCTTGATATTCTTCATTTGACAGTTCTTCTCAGGATATAGTGTCAAAGTGGTTATTTTAGCAATACTTGCATGTCTAAAATAAAAGACAATGCCCCTTTTCCATGCTGCATGATAGGGTTCATGAACTACTTCCTGCCACTTTGACCTTTATTTGTGCAAAATTGAAAAGGACAGATCAGGAATTTCCTTGAAGGACTCGGGTCATTTGCGTTGCAACATGTCTCCCTGGGTTGTATATAACTGCTGCTCAGAAAGCAAGGGAGCATCTGAGAGAGATCCAGCTCAGCTGTCTACCACTTCTGCCCATCCAGGAGAAGAACATCGCAAGGTGAGTGGCTGAAGATATAAGATGTCCCTGCAAGCTGTAGAAAACATAGGAGAATCAGATATGGAAGGCATACAGGCATAGTAGCAATAAGATCTTTATGAACAAGATTTATATTCTCACAATAGAAGTTTTGGCATCCTGACTTATAGGCTGGTGACAGTATCTGCTTCTTCATGCCTCACTGAGAAAAGCAAGTGAGAAAATTAAATACAGAACTTAATTTGAATAACAACACTGGAATATTTCCAGACTCTTAATTCATAATATTTATTTACAGTGCATTTTAATATGTGAAGAAAGTTTATACCAAAAGATCTTCTGTAGTACCACTTTATAATGCCTTGCTAAGGCCACACTTGGAATACTGCATTCAGTTTTGATCTCCATGGTGCAAAAAAGATGTGGAGACACGAGAAAGAGTGCAGAAAGAGCAACAAAGATGATTAGGGGGCTAGAGGCTAAAACACATGAATAATGATTGCAGGAACTGATGTTCCAATAACTCAGGGGCTGCCACAAAGAAGAGGGAATCAAGCTATTCTCCAAAGCACCTGAGGGTAGAACAAGAAGCAATGGGTAGAAACCAATCAAGGAGAGAAGCAACCTAGAACTAAGGAGAAATGTCCTGACAGTTAGAACAATTAATCAGTGGAACAACTTGCCTCCAGTAGTTGTGAATGCTCCAATACTGGAGGTTTTCAAGAAGATGATGGATAACCTTTTGTCTGAAATTGTATAGGGTTCTCTGCCTAGGAAGGGGGCGTCAGACTAGAAAACTTCCAAGGTCCCTTCCAACTCTGTTATTTTAAATTCTAAATATATGTCCATATTCCTGGAATTGACATTCTCAGGTTAAGCAAGAACCTGACACTGCCCTGCTGTACAATGTGAGATATAACCAGTTATGTTTGTAACATCTGACCTCATTCATAATTTTGCTCTCAAAATTACATAACATGAATGGGGCAAGATCTGAAGCAAATGATGTTCTGCTGAGATCAATGGATCCAGTAGATCTTGTTCTATAACATTATCAAATATGTAGTTTCTTCAGAATCCAAATAAGTGGTAATCAGGATAAGGACTGCAATTAAAAAACACACACACACATTCTTCTTTTCTTCATTCCCTTTCTTCAATGAATAGCAATTAAAGAATGCATGCCTGATATTTAGTGTTCCTTTCTTTCTTTGAAGGTCAATCAGAAGATGGCTTTCCTCACTTACATCAGCCTCTGCCTTCTTGGCATTTTCTTTGCTGGTCCTTTCTTTCAAGGTAATTTGTTTGATATTTTTCAACCCCATTGGATGGTTGTCAATTCAACAACCAGCAGATTTTGGAAAGAGTAATGTACAGTTACTTCCCAGTATTGGAAAGAGTTGTTCTGAAAATACAAGCATTCAGTAGATGTTAAAGTGATGATTTAGAGCCGAGGTGGCGCAGTGGTTAGAGTGCAGTACTGCAGCTACTTCAGCTGACTGTTAGCTGCAGTTCGGCGGTTCAAATTTCACCGGCTCAGGGTTGACTCAGCCTTCCAGCCTTCCGAGGTGGATAAAATGAGGACCCAGACTGTGGGGGCAATATGCTGACTCTGTAAACCGCTTAGAGAGGGCTGAAAGCCCTATGAAGCGGTATATAAGTCTAACTGCTATTGCTATTGCTAAACTAACCACAGCTGCTCTTCACAAAAGTATAGAAATAGCAATAGTAATAGCACTTACTTATATACCACTTCACAGTGCTTTAGAGCCCTCTTTAAGCAGTTTACAGAATTAGCCTATTGCCCCCAACAATCTCAGTTCTCATTTTACTAACCTCAGAAGGATGGAAGGCTGAATCAACCTTGAGTCGGTGAGAATCGAACTGCCAAACAGTTGGCAGTCAGCAGTCTGCAGAAGTAGCTTGCAATACTACATTCTAACCAGTGTGCCACCACAGCTCCTAGAAGTGAATATATTTAAACAAGACATTTCTAGGCAAGGATACAATTGTAAAATTGCAGTGTCAGGAATTAAACATGGGACCCTTGGCATCTAAATTATGATGTATCATGATGTAGTATCGGAATCGCATTAGCTAAAATTAAACTCCCTGGGTTTGATTTCCATTATATGGAGAGATTCTTTTGACCTTCTACTAGTTGTCTTTTGGGAATCTATGTATATGACTGCTTTCTGGGGCACTTCTGGTTCTAGGTTAGAGAAGGCCAGAATCAATATAAGGAAAGGACAAGAGATATGGACTAATATCAATGACTCAGATGTGTCATTGGTTCTAGATTCATCAAAAGGCAAATAAAATAAATTGTCCTCTGAAGCTAGAAGAGTATTTAGGAATTATATCAAACCTCAAAAATAAAAGGGAATTTACATTGGTGCATTATAACACATTCTTTTGGGATAATAAAGGAAAATCCATACTGTAGAACAGTATATTTTTTTGTATGAGAGTTTTCTCTTGGGATCAGGGACACTCACATTGGGATACTAACATGTCCACTAAGCAGTGCATTTGAAAAAGCTATAGCTTGTGTCAAGATTTGTCACAAGTCCATTTTTGCCTGCCACTTCAGACCCAGAGACCCGTATTAAGGTATTGAAACTATTTGTATTGTCTGTAGAACCAAAGATTAACAATGTATTGCTATCATTCAATAGCTAAAAAGCAGCATCCCAATTTCTTTTTAATTGCAAAACCAAGATAAATGTGTTTTCTCATTTCAGGTTTAGGAGTTATTCATATTAATTTAAACCAGCTTGAACACTTTTATGTGATTTGATCTAGTTAGTAGCATAACAAGGTAAACTAAATAATCAAGGAAGAATTGCATGGAATGCAAACTGACATTTCCTATGTTAATATAGAGTGAAGGTTAAGAACTTTTTTCATTAATATCAAGGATGGTAATAGCCACGTATTTAGATAGTTTAAAAAGATGATGATACCAATTCAGGGTGAACAGGACTATTCATGGCTGCTAGATTGATAGCTGCTTACTACTTCAGAATCATAGCCACAAAAATGGATGTTTAGCAGTGGAAAAAGTCTCCTGCTTCACATTCAATCTGTGAATTCAATCTAGCAAAATGCTTCTTTTGTTCCCAGAATTCTATATAGACATCATCATCTTCTTCTGTCTTCTAATATTCTTTTTCCATCATCCTCTTTCAATGCAGTGGAAGCTGACACCTGTGTGAGGGAATGGCTGCAAAACCAAGGCAACTGCTATGCATACTTTGATCAGAAGTTGACATGGCATGAAGCTGAGGTAAGAAGTGTTTCTCATAATCAACATCTATGGTTTAGAAAATATAGAAAAGGGTTTGTGGGGTGGTAGATAGATTGGGATTGTCTCTGTTACAGATTTTGAACTATAACATATATCCCACCATCTTATATTTGAACCATGTATATTCTTTACCAACACTGAGTAAAAGTACTCTTAAAGTTGGAGCTGGAAAGAAAGAAGCTTTAGCGTAACTGCAAGATCAGATGAAGTTGACGTATAAAATTAATATCTTCCAATAAGACTTAAAAGCATCCCTTCAATTCTTATTGCCCAAATGATGGACCACAGTTGGAATTCCATGAAGCTTAACTCAACACATGGGAAGTTTCACAGATCTTGGTGTTGGGAAATGATCACAGAACTCATATTCCTTTCGTCTTTCTTCAGATCGAGTGCCAGAGCCCACCTTGCCTCCATCCTTACCACAGCAGAGACTCTCCTGGTGGCTGAGCATGTCTCCACTTATCAAAAAGAACTTGGCAATGTTTGGATTGGACTCCATGATGTCCGTCAGGTGAGATCATCTAACTTAACTCTGCCCTTATTTATGTGCAGTGGCACAATGTTTATTGACTTGCCTAAATCCAATAGACTCCTGCTCAATACTTCACTTATTAAAACACTCATAATCATAGAAAAATATTACCAGTCCGTCTTTAGACAAAGTTCTCATTCTCTGAAGCGTATTTCCTTTCCACAGACTGGGAAGTGGAGATGGGCTGATGAATCCACTTACAACTACAAATCCTGGATGAACTACCAGCCAGACAACTATGGCAACAATGAGCATTGCGTGGAACTGCGATGATCCACAGGTAAACAAACTTTTCAAAAGTTCTCTAAACTTTTCCAAGGGTTTCCAACTTTTCTCAGCCTATGGGGATTCATAGATCTGACTATCCAGTCAGCAGTGGCCATATATTTATTCAGGATTTAAGAAAGCTAGAGACAAGAAATTTCCTACCATGACCAAAATGCATAGTTGAATTCCATTAGATAACAGAATGGAGTCTATTTTCTTTTAAAGGCTTTAGTTTCAATGTTGTATTTGTATTTATTAGTTTGTCAAACATGTACAAAATAACAGGTATAAATATAAACAGGGGCATGAACAAAGGAAATGAGTGCAAATAAATGGGGAACGGTAGGACAGGGACAGTAGGGACGCTAGTTTATGCACGCCCCCTTTACAGACCTCTTGGGAATGGGGTGAGGTCCAGAGTAGACAGTTTAAGGTTGAAGCTGTGAGGGTTTGAGGTTGTAACAATGGAGTCAGGGCTTGACCACTCTGCTGCTGAAGTCGTATTTTCTACAATTGAGTTTGGAGCAGTTTACCTTGAGTTTGTATCAATTGTTTGCCCGTGTATTATTAAGGTTGAAGCTGAAGTAGTTGTTGACAGGTAGGATGTTGTAACAGACAATTTTGTGTACTGTGCTTAGACAATACCACAATAGATAATGTTGCAACGGATACCTTTTGATGGTTCCAATTTTTTCTCCAATTTTAAATTATATAGATTTGAAATTGGTTGTTAAATTGTGTCTAATCCCTTTTCAACATTATTTCAGAGAGAAATTATTTGGTCTAATTTTAGGATGAAGTGAGTAAACATCTTCACAGAGTGCCATATAAGAATCAAATGTTCCTATAAATTCAAAAGATGGAATTGAAACCAAACTACAACTTCCTTAATCTGTCCCAAACGCAGACATATACTGCAAAGATAATCTTTGATTTCTGAACATAATTGAGATCAAAGTTTCTTTTGCTAAGCGAGACTGTTATTCAGTGAATTTTATGGCCTTTCTTGCCATAAAGTGAATTTGTTAAGTTGTTAAGTGAATCACATCATCACTGAAACCATCATAAATATAAACCAGTTATCAAGTTTTGGTCATGTGACCATGGGGATGTGGCAATTGTTGTAAGTGTGAGAAATGGTCATAAGCCATTTCTTTTCAGTGCTATTGTAACTTCACATGTTCACTAAGCAAATGCTTGTAAGTTGAGGACGACCTATGGTGACTGTTTATTGGAATGTATTCTCATTCTTTTGACTCCTGCACTTTGGAGAAAGAAAAATAGTCTTTCTTTGCAGCAAATAATAATAATAGCACTTTTCCCATTTCTGTTTTAGGTTTTAAGCAATGGAACGACATTCAATGCAATGCACGTAATGCCTACATCTGCAAACATGAGTTGTAAAAGTGACTGAAGCTCCTCCCTGTGTTTCCCAGGATGTTGATGTGATGCGCTGCCTTCTTACTTATCTCATTACCTCTTCACATTCCATAGAGATAAAGTTCTCCTCTTCCATTTTCTTCAAAATCTGAACTCACAAGAACTGCCTCTTTGGTTCTTCTTAACATTTATTGTGACGTGTGCACAGTGCAATATCAATAAAAACATTCTGAAGCAATTTTTTTCTGAAGTTGTCATTCTTAGCTTATTTATACATAATGTACATAGATACTATACATGGGCATCTTGTTGCTCACTTCTGCCTTAGTGATTAGTGTATTCCTTCTCTTTAATGAAAAGTTGCCCTCTTCATCGGATAATAAATTAATTGCAAGCTATGCAGATGTGTAGGACGTTAGCACCCACCCCTCTCCCAGAAGAATGAAATATCCTAGGAAATATTAAAAAGGCAGAATATTATATTTCCCTGGATAAAAAAAAATGGAGAAACATGTTTTAGGCAGGAAACAGACTCATTCTTAATAGCCCCCACCTTTGTCAACAGACCATCAAAGGCCTGGGCCAGTCTATTCTACATAGCAAAGGTAGGGTTAGCCTTCTACAAAAAGGCACCTGGGAAAATTACATTAGCCAGCAAGGCAAACATAGATGGACTCAAAACACAGCCTACAGAGTTGCCCCTGCAGGGCCCCATGGGAGTCTGATAACCAATCAAAATACAAGCTCAGGTTCAAAGCCCAGAGACGGCATAAAACCAGTGACTTTCAACATCTCTGCCTCTTTTCTTCTTCACCCAACACCTTGAAGAATGTGATTCCCCTTTTCTGTTCAGGAGCTCAAGCCATGTGCTCCTGTTCACCATTAAACCATCTTTCAAAGCATCCTCCATGTTTCTAGTGTCTTTTTCCACACTTGGAACTGAACCCAGAAGGGCACTTCTTCCAACAGGTGAGCCTAATAATAATAGTGACTTTAAAAAATCAACTAAAGAAGATAAAACTTAGCCTTTCCTGCCTTAGCAGTTGTTGTCATCTAACCACTCTGTCTGAACTCAGCAGCTAAGCAGGTTTGAGGGGGGTTAGTTCTTGAATGGGTAGCCATCAGTATTATACACTGAACTCAGAAATGAAGATATATTACAGAAGAAGACAATGGCCAGCTACACTCATAACTTTAACCAGAAAAACCACATAGTGTATCCATATACGGTAGTTCTTCAGAATCTGTCCTGATTTTATTTAATTATCCAAACTTTCTCTATGGTACTACTTCCCTCATCTCATTTGGGCAGGTCAGAGGGAAGCAATAATGTTGCAGTTTTCAAAAGAACCTAAACCATAACCTGACCAATTAGTACACCTTTACCTGCCAAACCCCTGAAATTTATCTTTTTCAGTTTGCTTCTGCAATGACCAAGCTATGCATCATAATTGATATTGCCACCTATGGGAAATTTGTCTTCTTCAAAGCCCAATACTTATCACTGAAAAGAAGGACCCAAGGAGTCAGGCATGAAGAGTTTCATCCCTTATTGATAACAAGAAGCAGTGGAAATCTGACCCTTCACAAATAGGGGAAATGGGACACTGACTCTGTGGGAAGTTATCATCCAGCCCTCTCCCAGAAAAATGAAATATCCTAGGAAATATTGAAAAGGCAGAATATTTCTCTGGATATCAAAAGAAAGAAACATGTTTTAAAAGATAGAATAGTTGCCTGTAGCTTCCTGCCCATCCCCACTGTTAATGGGCCATTAAGAAGGCCAAGCTAGTCCACTTTACATAATAAAGGCTTCTCCACTGCAGCTTCAGGGGGGATGGGATTAAAAGCATGATAATATTGGCCCTTTACTCAACTGACCACATGGCATCTGAGAACTCAACCAAACCTGGATTCAAAACACAGCCTAGAGAGTTGCCCCTGCATGGCCCCACGGGAGTCTGACAACCAATCAGAATACATTTCTTACACAGGAACAGGAAACAGAGAAGTGGGGCCAAACAGAGAGTATAAAGCCAGGAACTTTTAGCATCTCACACTCTCTTTTTCTTCACCCAACATTGAAGCATGTGATCACCTTTTCTGTTCAGGACTCAAGCTATGTGGTCCTGTCTACCATTAATCCATCTTTTTAAGTAGCCTCCATGTCTCCAGTGTCTTTTTCCCCACTTGGAGCCGAACCCATAAGGGCATTTCTTCCAACAATTTGCAAGATGGGATTAAGGCATGAAAATATTGGCCCTTTACCCAACTCACCACATTGCATCTGAGAACTCAACCAAACCTGGATTCAAAACCCAGCCTTGAGAGTTGTCCCTGCATGGCCCCATGGGAGCCTGATAACCAATCAGAATACAAAATCAAGATCAAAGGCCAGAGAGGGCATAAAACCAGCATCTCAGTCTTTCCTTTATCTTTTCTCCACCAACATTGAAGCATGTGATCACCTTTTCTGTTCAGGACTCAATCCATGTGGTCCTGTCCAATAATAAACCATCTTTCCAAGCAGCCTCCATCTCTCCAGTGTCTTTTTCCCCACTTGGAGCCAAACCCAGAAGGGCATTTCTTTCATCAACTCTCCCCACCACCACCACCAGCAGCAAAAATCTGACCTAAAATTAATAGAATAGCATTGGCCAGAAAAGAAGTCATATATTTGTGAAAACAAATCAAGGGATGTAATCAAAAGAGAAAATAGCACTATATAATTGTCAGATTCAGATAATAGTTTGTGGAACCAGCTAACCAGTCAAACACATTTTGGATCCTCCAGCATCTTACAGAAAAAGTTTATGGTTTTAAAAAAAACCAACCCTTTGTTATACTGTAGGATCTATCAAGGTAGAACCGGCAGTAGTCATCCACCACCCCTGATAGATTTTACAAGAAGAGTACTCAACTCCTCTGCTCGTAATAAAATTCCGTATACCACCAGGAAATTTTAGGCTTAGAAAACCTTAAACTACGCCGTCTACGTTCCGACCTGAGTTTAGTGCACAAGATAATCTGCCACAACGTCCTATCTCTTAAGGACTACTTTTACTTCCACTGCAATAACACAATCAATAGATACAAACTACCGTATTTTTGGAGTATAAGACGCACCAAGATTTTGAAGAGGCAATTTTTTTAAAAAAAGTTTTTGCACTTTGCAAACCTCCCAAAAACAGCTCAATTTTTTTGCGAAAATTGGCCCTTTTTTAAAAGGGGGGGGCATGAATAGCCTTTAGGAGGCTTGTAGAGTGCTCCTGGGGGGTTGGGGGGGACAAAATTAGCAAACAGGCCTTTAGGAGACATAGAGTGCTCCTGGGGATTGGGGGGCAAAATTGAACATAAAACGCCCCATTTTTCTCTCATTTCTGCCCTCCCCAGCCCTCAGGAGCACCCTGAAAGCCTCCTAAAGACTCTGCGCAGCTATTTTGGTGAAGGGGGCAGGGTTTCAGGAGGCAAAAAATGCTCTATTCAGTGTATAAGACGCACCCAGATTTTCAGCCTTTTTTTTTTTTTTTAAGGGGAAAAAGGTGCATTTTATACTCCGAAAAATACAGTACATGTAATCTGTTCTAATCTTGATTGCAGAGAAAATGACTCCAGCAATAGAATAGTA